ATTATTCGTTACTCTTTTATCACTACCTTATTATATAGTAATTAAAATACTGAATAACAAGTGATTTGATATTTATGAGATTAATGTGGGGAGTGGCTGTTGGGATGTTGGGAAACTAATCAATTACAGAATAAGTACACTACAGCATAGCTTGTAAACAGGGTCAAAGATTTTGATTACGCTCATTTTAAAAATATGATGTGTAAATCGCCTGTTTCTCTTGTAATCTCCATAGTGTTTCAAATAACAAGTTAATTTAACGTTCAAATATTAGACAGAGGAAACAACAAGAATGCTAGAGAACTTTTAGAAGCTTGGCATTCCAGTGAATCATCAATCAATAGACACATCGAGATAGACAAAATTTATCAACCGATAAGAAAGAAACGTCACACACAAAGGGTCAAAGTTCAAGTCAAACAAACAAGCAACTAGAAGTGCAGGAGAGATGATTAATAAACTCGTGCAGAAATCTAAAAGCTCACTTCAAATTGAAGTATGCCTAAGATGTCACCTAGTAGGGTGATGAAAGCTTCGCAAATCAACTATCCAGCTCAGAGAACATAACCACATCAAAATCTACTGAGCTCAATCTTCTCTATCATTAATTACTGTAGTTTTGATACGTCTGAGTCTTAAAATAGTAATTTATTTTTGACAGACGCATATCTAGATATAGAATAAAATTGTCGAGGATATAAAAGCATAGATATAGTTGGATATACTTAATTCGTCATTAGACTGCCTACATAAATTACACCGTTCTCAGACTGACATGTTTCAGTCAATCAGTCATGGATACCCTCGATTCATGCTGGATTTTTATTTCTGTTTTCCCTCCAGAAATGTATATCATCTTCCTATAAATAAAACATTTACAAATTTCAATGAGTATTATACACATAACTGACATGCGCAATGTGTACAAGTGACGGTTTTCTTTCAGAAGTCTTTGACACGACAGCTGCCAGAAATTATTTCAAAACCCAATATGGTATTCTATTTTTATTCACTTTTAATTTTAATTCTGTCTATAAAGATTTTCAAATATTATCGCTTAAATTATTTAATTGAATTTTAGATTTTCCCGTCGATTGATTGGACCAAAGTGCTTGGTCTCAAGTTGACATGTCGGCTTCTTGTGCAGATGCTTCGACGATGTCTGGGCATGTAATTAGAATTTAATTGGTGGGTGGTGACTAGCAGTGGAATCCAGGATAACGCGCATTTCGTCCTATTTGGGACTCATCAACTGGATGTACCTGCATTCCCCAGTGAGTGATGATGTTCCCACCGAGGCTGGAACCCAGTGCCCATAGTTTCAAACACCAAATTGTTATCCACTAGACCACTTGGGCCACGAGAGCCAACTCTTGTGCAACCGGTCATATTAATTATTTAATTGAATTTTAGATTTTCCCGTCGATTGATTGGACCGAAGTGCTCGGTCTCAGGTTGACATGTTGGCTTCTTCTGCAAACTCGGTGGGAACATCATCACTCACTGGAGAATGCAGGTACATCCAGTTGACGAGTCCCAAATAGGACGAAATGCGCATTCTGGATTCCACTGTTAGTCACCATCCACCAATTAAGTTCTTATCGCTTAAACTTTGATTATTTTCAGTTTTTGTTCACTGATTCAATTAATATGACGTAATTACTGAGAAGTTGTTTAGATTTGTCGGTAAAGTGAGCACTACGCATAATTCTATTTTACGCACTACTTAGTTATGCTGTAAATATTTGTTTCAAACAAAATTACATCAAAAATGGGATGATGTTATTGAACAACAAAACCAAACAAATATATTTTTTAAATCACAAAATTTATGTTTATTTAAAATAACCAATATAAAGAAAGCATTTGTAGAAAAGTTGGTTAATCGGCATACACGTGTGCCTCATTGCATTATTAATGAACGAGAATATACACAGTACACTAAAAAAGACGTGTATTAAGCATCGTGTAAGTGTACCGCCTTAAAATGAATAAACAGAATCTTGAAAGGATTTAAATTCAAGACTGTTTTGCAAGAATTTATAAACTGTGCCGACCAAATCAAACACCTTTTTACTTGATCTACTCTTGTGACTCTGAAACCTTATCTTTGTCATTGTTTTTAAGTAACTACTAGCAGTATCAGCTACTTTACTGTCGGCTAGTTGATCATTATAATCTGTATGCCAGTTGAATAAAAAGATGCTTCTTTTTGAGATGACTGAAGGTTTCCGTTTTCAGAGTGGATCGATTTTATTATCTCTTATCTGTTCACCTTTTAAGGATTGCCCTTAAATTAGTGGTAAAGTCACCATTTGAGATCCTGCTTGATATGCCCATCGCCTGCATTACATCTAACCACTCAGATGGTTTTGACATTTCTCCTTATCATGCAACTCTATATTACCTTGAAAATTCTAGGCCTCATAATTAGAATTTCTTGTTATTCCTTATTCATGAAAAACTACCGAGATCTCTGCCTCTTGGAACAGCACTGTCAATGATGGTGCAAAAGAAGTCAAAATCTATATAGTGGGCAACTTGTGCCAGAAAAGTGCCAAATTGACCAGAAAATTCGAGAAGTCGAAATAGAATTATTTATCATAGATTTAGTAAATATATTGCCAATTTTAAAGATAAACAGATTCAAAGCAGAAACACTTAAGAAGCTGAAAAAAATATTTAGAACATACATCTACTTAATAATTAACATCTGAAATATAAATACACCCTAGAATTCACTAGTGACTATTAGTAAGTCAATAAAAATTACCATATACGTGCAATCAGCATCATTAAACTAAATTATAGGTTGCATATATTGTATTTCTCCTATGTAATTATTACTTTTACATTTATTTTTAAGTATAAACAAAATTTTGCTTACAAAATGACATTTATTTCATGGGATTTAACAGCATGATGCACTCAGTAGGCTAAGGTATATGGAAATTCATAATGGTTAACTTAAATCTCTTTTATCCCATTTGACTCTTTAAACGAAAGATGTTGCTCAGCTGTTTTCAGTGCCTCGTCGAGTACTTATCATAATGGCTTATGAAAGTGAATAAAAACAAGGTGATTAATCAAGAGACATTAATGCTACACATAAAATATAAGAAACGAGAACACACTAAGCCTCCTTATTTCTCAACATTTGAAATCATATACAACAGTTGGATAATAAATGTATGGATTCAAGGTGATCCAATAAAAGGATATCTACATTAAAACCCTTCTACCAGTATATCAGATTATAATATTGATAATTATACTTTTGCTTCGTTATTCAGTCTGTTCTGAATAACAGTTAAGAAGTGTAAATTTATTTTACTTGAAGCTAACCTAATAGGCTTAACTGTCCCAATTATCCCAAAATACATAAGTCACACTCAAATACAAGTGTGTGTGTGTGTGGTCTGAGTGGCACTGGAATTCCTACATCTCAGTTTTCAAACTAGTTTTTTTCTTGTTAATTAAAGAAATCACCTTCATCTTAGTGCTCTACTCTTAAAAGAAATAAATTGACTTGTTGAATTTGCGTGCACGGTTACGTGGTGGACCATGAAAATGTAGTAATAAAATCCTAACAAAGTGAATGTAAATTTTCAATCACTCTACTGACTCATGCAAGGTTTTTCTCCACAAAGAATAAGTTTTCATGAATAAATTTTTATCTGAGAATCAGTGGAATTTTAAAATATCTTTCTCTTAGAAACTATTCATCTAACATACTTCAGTCTGGCACACCATACCATGGTCTTGTGCGTCGGTGGCACAGAGGTAGAATGCTAGCCAATCACGCAGGTGGTTCGAGGTTCGATCCCCAGCCGACGTACTCCTTTACCTAGCTAAGCCAGTAATAAGGCTGGTAAAGAGGGAAGGTTGGGCATGAGGCTAGCAACCGCCTCCCGTAAAAATAAATATCACTGCTACCGAAACTTCAAAGTTCTAGCCTGAAGCCCTATGTTCCACTGGGAACGTAAAGGAATAAAACAAATATCAAGGTCTTGTCACTTATAGAACTTGCTGAATTTCAGTGTTCTGATTACGCGATCACTTAAGTATATCAAACAGGGCATATTACCGTATTTGATTCAGGAAATAACCACTATTCATGTATAAATAAATAGTTGTACACAGGTCTTTTATTTTGTAGTAAGAAACTAAATAATAACTACACAGACATGTTCGTGTTTGGTTTGTCTTAACAAATATAATCAGTGGGTAGAGCTACTTAGATTTAATCTACAGATTTCAGTTTTCCTATTCAGATAAATGGTGTATGTTAATAAAATTGCCTTACGGCTATACTAGGCACGCACTGGTATACCCTCTAGTCTTCTATTAGTCATATTCAATTCATTCTTATCCTCGGTCGTTCTTTATGAATTATTATCGACAACATCATCATTAACGTGGTGCAAGTCACAAGCAGTTAAGAATGTTTGATTATGATTTTCTTTCTACCATTTTCACGTTTAGACACTAAAATATGCCAGCTTGAATTCTTTCTCAAACATTCTGTGATTTGCATTCTGCAGACTGTGGTGCAAAAATCTGTATTAAGGAAATTCCTAAGTATTTCTGGTTTATGTAGATAAGGTCATAAACCCATAAAATAACAGTAATATATATGCTGAACATCCCACACTATAAGAATGTTGACAACATATTTATAATTTGGTTGCTATCACTAATTTCCCAGTGAGCATAGTAAGAAATTCAGTCTTATACTTACACATACTGAATCTGTACCAGGTCAGGATTAAATCTTTCTTAACCACGAGTATTAAGCAAAAGCCATCCACTACCTAACGGAGGGTTTTTTACGTGTTAAACACTCCAGTCGTTAGAAATTCATGAAACAAAAACAATACTTGAATATTCCCTATTTTTAGTCAATATTATCTATTATCCTATCGGCTTCTGAGAATTAATAATGTATTATCAGAACATTACAATTGAAAATAAGAATAATATAGGTGTAAGATACTTACCAGATACTTGAGATATTTGAGAATCATTTGTTGAAGTTTTTCTATAATTCATATTTTTTGCAGCATTTACTGCAACGGATAATGCATCAAGTAGAGCACGACCACGATTATCTCTTGGAAAATCAGAGTTGCAATTATCATCTACTGTGGAATTAGTAGAAGATGCATTAACATGTGTATTTTCTGTAGAACTTGAATTCTCCTTCTTGTCATTAACTTCTGATGGACACTTTAAAGTTTTATTTTTTTGAGTACAACTATTTGTATTTTCTGGAAATAGTGTCCCAAGTTCAGCTAATAAATTGCTAACCTAAATAGTTGAATTTTAGAACAATGAAGAACAGTCACAAATCTTAAAGTGATAAGGATTTTAATACATAATGTTAAGCTATGTGTTTAATTTATGCTTACTTATTATACAACAAAAGACAAGCTAGTAATAACGAGTAGTGAAGTTTGATAAAGATCCTTGAAAAGGGGAAAGTGTCACATTAGCTCCCTATATATAGCATTCACAAAAAATTCTCTTTTATCAAAATAATAAGCATTATATCGCTGTTCTGATGAGGATTTCAACTTTTAAAATCTTGATAAATAGCTTGCCGAAACACAGAAGAACTGTGGTAAAATCATTTCTAAACTCTTTTCATCATTTCTCTTCAAACGGATTAAGAACTACAATCTCAATTATAGGACAGTACTTTAAGATAAATAGATATAGTTATTCCTAACACTTATCTCTTATCGAAATAATTCTCTTAGCGTAATATCAGCTAGGATATATCAACTTAGAATGTTTAACAGCAGTGCATCATTTTTATTTGTGACATTCTGAAACATCATATAAAAGAGAAGTTAACAAAAATGAAGTACTGTTATTTGTTTTCTAGGTTAATTTGCATTTCTGATTAATTCGTGGTGCTGCTCGGTCTTTATGGCAACACCGTCAGCCGTGGAGTAAGCAACTACATCCAGCTGACAAGTCCTGATAAGAAGCGAATGAACATCTTGGATTCTATTGCTTTTTACCATCAACCAAAATAACAGATATGAAACACCATTACAAAGCAAAATATGAGCATAACAAGGAACATAGCGGTTTAATGAAATTAGCGTATATGTCGAGAGATGTGAAAAAAATTAAAACATCACTGTAATACATTTATACCACTGCAAACATCTTTGGATTATGTTGTCAGAGATCCCCAACAAGCGATTGACAACATTTTATTAACTTCAGACAAGAAACTTATACTTATTGCTCAGACCAATGACCAGATGATTGACAGGCTCATGTCTTATTTTCATGAACCAATCGAAACTGTTTGAAATTAACATCAAGGTGATATTAGATACTTTTTTTAAATAATCATTGGTCTCACAGATGACAGTTCACTAAAACTTGTGTAGGAGGGTTTAATATGATCGGTTGAGCTTTTTGAAAAATCGATATGGAGCAGGTGGTTTCAAGTTGACAAGTGATTGAACAAAAATCCGTCAAACCAATAAGGTTCATTATGTGTTACGTCCATTGAATTTTTCATGAACTGTACTGAAAGAACAATCTAGACTGAAATCTAGATTAAGTTCTTCTGAAACTTTAATCATTGCAAATATATCCTTTCAAAACACTTAAGAAATACTTGAATATTTTGATTATTACAATACCATATTTTGGATTCCCTGCTAAAACGTTCAAAATCTTATATAGCCCCTTGGGAAAGTCACTAAATTAAAACTTTCTTCTATGAATTACCATAGAGTTCATTGTTTCCAGTAAATTAATTTGTCTGTGTTCAACAAAGTCTTACGTCATAACTATTTGCCGAATGTTCAAAATTGCCAATAGGATTGATTCAAAACACTTTGCGCTTTTGTAAATGATACGTTTGTCTTTGAATACTCGATTCATTGAGCAGAAAAACAAACAAATAACTGAAAAGTGTTTTGCAGCAATACAACATCCACACCTAATACCACATATTTTGTTGTTTGTTTGTTGGCATGCAACTAAATATTTACCAGGGCATAATCAATGAAATAAAGTTTGTTTAAAATATTAGGATTTTATCTGCATCCTTATTTTTTTAAAAGGTGATTATTCACTTCACTGAAAAAACTGTCAGATGTTTTTATGATTACGTAATACTATGTCACATACCACGGATAACAGAATCAGGCACAGCCTATCAACTAAAATCTACTTAACCTTTTGTTTATTTGCATAGAATTCCTTCAAGTAGTTATTTTAAGACGAAAAGTATTATGATATTCAGTATTATTGAGTGTTAAAAATTCCGTATTATCATAAAGGATGAACATTTGGTAATTACTGTAATAAAAAGCAAAAGCAAAACCGAAATCCCTTTAAGTTTATAACTGTTGTTATTCATTAAACTAGTATTGAAGAATGAAACGTGTTCCGTAACATAATGTACTACTGACTACTCCGAAATTCATTTCCTGGATGTAATTAAACTCGGAATGATTCGAAGGTATATCAGTGTTAAAATTGTATACACAAGATCGTAGTATGTACACAAAGGAATTAATAATAATAATAATAGTAAATGGAATGCAGAGTACCTAAAAGGTTATAAACAAACCTCAGTCATATAGTGGGCGTGATATTTCGCCTTCTCCTCAGATAGTTGCAGAACTTCGACAAGCTCTTGCTGCTTCTTCTCCAGTGATGAACAGAGATTGGCAATTTGTTCAAGAAAGCCTATACGTTCCTGTTCCAGTAGTTTAATCTTTTTTCCTTGCTCTAGCAAAGATATTTTATTATAATAAAATAAGCTCACCTTTCAGTTTTCTTGAAAAACTGTGGTATTGTTTCTGTGAATGAGTATCATTTGACACTTCTCCATTTGATAAGTAACCATCACAACTTGAACAATTTCCTTCTCTAGTGTCATGATGATTGCTATGGTCGCTGCTTTGATTGTCAGATAAGTCTGATTCTGTATCTTCTTTTAGATTTACTGACACCGTCTCATAACTGTCGTCAGATTCCATGCCAGTGAAATTTATATGGGGTCAATTTTCTCGTGTTTTAAAGACTATATCAAAACAGTGTGATAACTGTACATCTGTAAGTTGTGAATGAAGACATTGAGGTTAGAGATGAACATTTTGTCAAAAAGGAGAAGAAAATCTTCGGAATAAAACCACTCAGCTCAGACAACACAAAAACAAAGACGAAAGTATCTCTATAATAAGAGTCTCATGATTGTCAATCACAAATAAACAATATATCAATATAAACCCTCGGAAGCGGAAATATTATTGAGCGAATTGTAACATTTTACATGTTCTCATTTATTTTTTAAAACCCAGACACTAATAATATTCTAAATGATAACGGTCCCTTCGTTGATCTCCCAGCATTTTCGATACTAGTCGATTTTTTTGTCACTCAAACTGTTGTGAAAATTAACACTGTGAGCTATAATGATTTGGACGAAACCAAAATTTACATTTACCATTTACATTTTTGCAATAAATATCTTTTTCAGAGATAAGTTGATCACTTTTAAGCTTTCTCAGTATCCCAGCGAGCTGCAAAACAGAAATAAAAGAAATTTTCCTTTGTTTCTTTTCGCAAAGGAACACTTCTTGTTAAGCTACACAATCTGAGAAGAAACCGTTTACATCTGATTCATCACCTTTGGTTTTAAAATCTTATAAGCCACACAAGTGGTAACTCCAAAGCATGTTATATACTTAGTGAAAAAATGACTTCCCTTCTGATGGGTAAACTTCGCTTTATAAAGAAATATTGACTATTTATTTCATTCTTTTGAACTGTAAAGCCATCAGCCAGTTTCCTTATGCACAAGTTAAATAATAAACCCCTCTCTAATCATTGCTAGACATTTTCCAGCAAAATACTTACAATTTACGCACAGTTTATGAAATATATTATTAGGAAATACTTCATTTTACGATGAAAAGAAATGAGTTTGTGGCAGTGTGATTTATTGTGTGTCTGGCGGATTTTAGTTTGACTTTAAGTAACAATAACTAAAGGAACACCACTAAATTGAACAGTTTGCTGTGTTTAATGGATAAATAGATACATAGGGCATTTCTTCTTCCATACAACACAGAAGAAGAAAGCAAAGATCTAAATATATCTGATTAAATGTTCCCATATTTACTTTTTAATTGCGTAAACAAAACACAAACTGCCAAATTTAATCCAACAAAACTGATATTCACAAACTACATTGGAAAGTTCAAATAATTTTAAATAATAATACTAGGTCGCTCTAAGAAGTGGTTAGCAATAGTTTCGCCAAGATAATAACAGTCTATTATCTCATTGATATTCACCAAATGGGCGCTTATTTCTACTGCAATCAAAACGACTTAAAAACATGTATTATTTTCTGTTTTCATCATAAAGCGGACAACTAGTTTATAAATCAGACAAATGACTTGTTGAAATGCCGCAGTTTCTTTGGATTAATTCGTTTAAAAATGTTATTAGGTTTCAATAAATTTACCAAAGATGTTTCCCCTAGTGTTTATCTCCCGTCTAAGATGGTTAATACGATTACAATTCAAACCGCAGATTTCAGCTGTGTAGAAAAAGGTTTAAAGAGAAGATGGTTTTCCATAACGGGTATCTGAGATTTTATCCACAAGCTGCACTGTCGCCTGAAAGAGTTAACGCTCACTAGAAATGAAACGCATTCACTTCACTATATGCTATCATTAATACTACAGGTACTTATATGCTAGTATGGTAGAGCTCAGAAAAGCCTCAAAATAAATCAGTGTCAAATGCTAATTGATGAAAATGTTTGCATTATCGACAAGTTAACTTTCAACACTTATCAAGTAATCGTATGATAGACACTACAGCAATTCAATTATCTTGAAACATCCGTGGTTGTTATGATGAAGGATAGATGATGTAGTGAGTTAATATGGAGGCTTTGCATTTATTGGTGAGTACACGCCAAAATCTTGAATTAAATTAGTGTCAGATGGAATTCATTCCATTCGTCACTTAGTGGAAACGGAAGTGCGAAAGCAAAAGTAAGCGACGTATTAGGTTCAAAGCAATATAATGAAATTCAGTAATAAATGCAGGGAGGTAAACAGTATCATTATGGAACATAAAAATGATGTGCAGTAGTCTGGAACTTTACACATTTCTCCACTCTTTGTAGGAAGTAATAAGAATGGAGGTATGAGAATTAAACCCTTTAAAAATGACAGAGTGGTTAAAGACAAAGGAGAATAGGATTAAGAATAGGAGGAAATGTGATATTACAACTAATATGTAAATACGGCATAAATGGCTAGGCACGTTATTTATTCTCTAGGCGTGTAGCCTCCGGCTGTCGCTTAACTTCGGTCAAACAAGTATCCTACTTTATTTAAATCAAACCCTCTTTTTTAACGTGATATGAGTAAGTATCCAGATGACAGGAGTACATAGCATATATTTCAAGTAGGTCAGGTGCTGAATGATGGTGATTTCGTTGATTCACTAACCTGTATAACCTGAAAGTCTGCACTGATCAATAAATTCACTCTTTACAATCAGACAAACATAAGTACCAACGTATTATAAGGGGAAGTTTGCATTTAATCATTGATGAGTGCTTCCAGAACATTCTTAGATTACAGTACGAAGCGACCAAAAGACACTATATTAGATTTTAGTCTGAGCTCGGCAGGACTATGGTGTGTCTGCACTTTAATTCAAACAGCTAGTCACCAGCATTAAGATTTATCCTCATGAAGCAGGATAATGGGAAAAGGATACCAATAAGACTATGTGTAAGAATGGGGATACAAACTGCGAGAACAGATATTTTAGATGGATACCAACCTATATAGAAACCTTGAGAGATGGGCTACTATTTCAACCATAGAACTTTAATTTGAAAGATACACTAACAGGATCCCACAAGCAATCTTTAAATCAAAAAAGGCCACTGTTTAAAACCTCAGATCTGGCAGCAAGTATGTGCCCGACAGGTAAACTCATGGTGAAAAATAGCTTGAGCTTCTCGGATTTATTATACTTAAACTCTTGACGGAGTTCACAGTGTTACTGTGCCTAATATTTCGGGAAAAAATACCAAGTAATCTAAATTTTCTGTTTCTCTATGAGGTTGTATGCTAACAGGCGGTTAGACCGCCTAGCGAGGCAAAAGAATGAAATTCACAACGTTGTATATAGGTGAAAATGAACAAATGTTTGGTTAGTTACCTCAAACCACAAACTACACTGTGCATTGAGAGATGTTTTACATACAGTTTAGTGCATACACTGCTTGTGTTTTAAACACCCAGCTTTGCTGAAATGATATGTTTGACCAGTATCTGTTTTTAATTGCAGTAAGTTTGTTTCCTAACGCCTGTCTCATCAATGTTTTTAAATGAAGTTTTTATGGTAACCAAAGTATGCACATTACTCAGTGCAGAAAACTAATGAATTAATGTCGAATAAGAATTTAATGTTTCTTATTCCTTTATACACATGCATAAAATGAATGAAAACAATTAGGTTTCGTAACTTAGAATGTGGGAAAAACTAGTGTAAAAACGGAACTGTGGGAAGACACATCAGAATATCTAAGTGTTATAACCTCGTTAAACAGGTCTTTTACTATTTTTTTCATAAAATAAAGGATACTAATTACTTTAACTGTTTGCACACAGTTATAAATCTAGTCAGGGAATTTATTAAGCTAGTTCTGCAGTGCATGGAGTCTAATCACAGAAAACAGTAGGGGTTGCAGATGGCTAAACAATAAACTCCAATGTCATGTGATCATAATTATACGGCACCCATGTAGTCCACTACTCCATCGTCTTCGGAATGTTCTCATATCGAGTGGGTTTCTCATAAGTTACTGCTGAAATCGAGTTTCAAGGTGAAAATAAGCACTTGTGAGCAAACTGGAATTTTGAATCTGTTGTTGCCTATGTGTTGTAACAAAGAATTAAGATCTTATGTAAGCTTCACTATCTTTTACAATCGGCAAGCACAAAACAAAATGTGCCTTTGCTTTGTAACATTGCTACTATAAGCGCCATAAAAATATGTTTGAAAATAAACTACTAGCAGCAGATAATTTTGTTACCATTTTTTACAACCTGATATATTGTGTTACAAATTAGCCCTTAAGGCTGTTCTGGTTCAAATTGTTCTCAAAACATGTCCTTAAAGAAAGACTTTTTAAGGGAAATGCCCTCGGAAAAAACTAGCCAAATGAAGTGTTTCAATTCACTTAATCTAATGAACTTTATTCGACTCAATTGCTAGTCAGCATGGTGCATATTTCATCATTCATTTTAATTTCCTCTTGCTTTATAGCACCGGTAAGTATCTTTCAGTCTGTGAGTAATCTTCTGGGTATAAAGTTTAAGCTGAAATTACCACAAACTACAATATACATTATTCAGGGAGTTTATTAGTGGAAATGCCACTGGTTCATATATGAACAAAACAGTCTCGAAACTTAGTACAATAGGTATGATATTTGATAGGTATGTCGAAATTACAAAAACCTATATCTTTTGAAATATAGGACTAGTCACAAGTCGATAATCTGGTATTCCGGCACAACTGACAAAGCTGTTCACTCATAAATGGCTGAAAGTGAATCACCTACTTTATAAGTGATTCCTAAACCCTATTTTTCCACTCAAAACACCATCTTTCATCAAAATTACAGGAAAATTAGAATTTTGGTGGAGACGGTTATCAGGTTCTGTTGGTAAAGTCTCTTCTTTGCGATAAGAAGCCGTAATTCAAAAATACCATAATTCACTTTAAGATAACTTATTGAATATAACTCCTAAAAACCGTATTTGACGGTTAAATGATGAACTATTTGAGTAGGTTGAAGATTAGTTGACGCATTTGCTAGTTTTCAGGAAATTTTAGTGCTCGCCAATGAACATTGCTGCATCGGTAGGAATGATATTCAAATAGATACCGCGTTAAAAAAAAATTCGAACGCAAGCTTACATTTGTCGATTACACAAAAATAACTTTCCAAGCTTCTGAAATGTTGATAGTTAAAATTTGCATGGACGAGAACCCGTTGCACTTTTTAACCGGAATATTTTAAATTTCACTTTCAATACTATGAGCATTACTTTACTTAAACACGACAACATATTCATAAAATATTTGTAGTTAATCTCATTGCTTTTGACTCACTTAAGACATCTATTGCATTTTTAAACAGCTTTTATTTGTACAGTTCAATCGATGCAATCCATTGCAGAGTGTACCTCTGTGTTGTGGCAAAATGGTTGGGCTGAACACATTGAATCATTTTGGCCTGCTGTCTGGTTAGGTTTGGTTGCTCCTGAATAAAGTCTACAAATTTTGTGAAAAGTCTCAATATGACAACAGTGAATCTGAAGTATCCCATGAATTTCTAACAGGTAGATGGATGAACTAGCTTGTTTCTACTATATATTACTAATATCTGAAATCATGTTTCCTAGCTCATTTCCTGATTATAAGGCTTAGATTCCTGAACTTCAGTAAACTCCCGTCCACTTTGTCTCTTCAGCTGTCTGCCTTAGTTTTGGTTGACTCCAATAGGGGTTCGGCGTTGATTGGTCATATGCGGTTCGCAGTACGCGGTGCAATAAGACAGTGTTGATCTCGTGAGCAGATTTATTCCTTTCATTCCTTAGCCTTCACGCGACTAGATAACGATGTAGCTATTGGAGATTACAGAGACTTGAAGAGAAAAATTAACGAGGAAGATAGAGATAAGTAGATTTAATTATTCAATAGTCAGAAGACTGGGCAGGAGTAGAGGGCGTGTTCCGTTGACGGCCACTAATGCAACGCGGTATGAGAGTTGCAGCATGATAGACGATTTTGACACAGTCCTTGTGTTGCTGCACGATTATACAGCCTTCACAAGTAATTTTCCACTGGTGGTGCAAACGTTACTACAGAAGGCAAAGAGTTTCTAGGGGTGGAAAACTCCAAGCCACCCTTCGTTGGTCGCCGTGAGAAAGACCCTGACGATATAATGGTAGAACAGCTTTGTTTGGACAATTCAGATCACGTGTTTTCTCGTAAGTGGTTATTAGGTCACTCCTTAACTGATGGTGGTTACGTACAAAGGGACATGTTTTCGTCAGTCAGAGATCATACGGTTTGTTCTGTAGACCTCCTTTTTACAACTCTCCTCTGAGCCTTTCCAAAGGATCGGCATCTCTTTTGAGCAGTTACACCATGTGCCTCAAGGTGCGGTAGCACATGCGGTTGATAGTATTAGAAAAGATTCAAGATCAAACCCGCCAAATATCCATGCCTAAAGTGTATCGCCGCATATGTCGCCACCCGGGTAACCCAAGCTTGTATCCTGTTTTTCGTTTAGAGTGAGACATAATTTGTACTCTGACAGTGCATGGGAAAAGTTGCCACCACACAGCGGGCAGCTTGCTACCCGAGTCGTTTATGTATGTGCTTCCACAAATTCGCTAATGTTTTGCTGGAAAACATGCCTCTGATCTGTACTCAGTCCTTCAGATTTTTAGGTCTACCTGCAAACTGTGAGTCTTTCAAACATTTCACTACTCCCTTAGTATTGACAGTGTCAGCTTAAAAGAAGACCTGGGTAATTCACACGGTGAGGCAGATTACTGGTGGAAACCAAAGCATTAAGTGCCCCGGCATTTAACTCTGTGGAAACCCCGAAGACGAGATGGGCCAGAGAAACTGAACATAACTGACTTTGATACAGAATTCCCTTCCATGTAAATATTCCTACAGCCGTGATGCGGTTTTTTATGAATATATGAATTGGCGAATAATAGACGCGCATTAAAAAGCCTTAATTCTAAATATTTGGTTTTCTTCATGGTGAGTTTACAAGAACTGCAATGGAACATCAAAACTAGGACAATGGAATTGATGTCCTATTAATATATGTGTAAAACTTGGGCACTGTGGTAGTAAGTAATTCCATATTAGTTTGTTTATTAGGTATATCACACAGTGAAACAGTATTATTTACTGGATGACGTTTCGAACAAAATTTATTGTTCATAATCATATCAATTGTGATACAATTGATGTCCGTTTATCTGACTAACTTGTCTTTCTTTGAAGACAACTCATTCACGAGGGTTTATGCAGGAACAAATACAGTGGATTATTTGGAATACTGTGAGACCTTACAAATTCAAATTATAGTCACGCAAGTCACACTGAAAGCTGTGTTGCTGTGCAGGAGGGAATAAATGTATTGTTACTGTTTTTGAACCCTACAAACATCACAGACCACGTTTCATCTGAATCTTACAGATAAATGCCCAGTCCTGACTCGTTTGGAGTACTTTTTTGTCATTTAAGATGTATTCCTGCCGTTGTTAGTTAACCTTGCGTTATTTTGTGTCCGATAAACGTTCTTATGGAATCACAAGATGGTATCCTTTCATATTTTACCCTAATATAACCGTAGAGATTGTGGTATTAGAGTTATGTCCGACTATAATAAAAGCACTTAACAAATGATTGTTGAGGTCTGGTCTAGTTAAATAAGAGGTGGCCTTTGACTAGAGGCCGAATGTCACGTGTTAATGATAAAGAAATAGTGAGTTATTCTTTTTCTATTCTATCGTCATTGAGTGTTGTATAGACCGCAGTGCGTTTGGCTAGACGTTTTCCCGCCAGCCTGCTGACTAAAATCAGTCACTTCCTGGCTTTTACCTGCAATCAACCGCTTGATTTGAGGTGAATTTGGTAAAAATCGGCCTACCAATAAATTTGTCGTCTGTTTCTACCCCATTACAAGTGTTATATCACACAATGTCTACGCGCCAAGTGTTGCCAAGAAACATGATTTCAGAAAGTAGCTCGTTTCACAGACTGTTGTATTTAGCAGTAAAAACTTATCTGCATTGTTTTATTTGTCACAGCCTGCTTTTAAAAGGTGGTCGTATTTAAATAAACGATGCTCTTTACGATTAGATCATATCGGTGTTGGCTAACGTTGAATAAGCTCCACATATTTCATTCATAAGAATGGATCTCCGGTCACCCTGCAGACGATGGTGGCTGCCGTAATCTAACCATACGCTCTTTGGTAGAAGACCACAGCAAAAAGATAAGCATTAATACTGTGAATTATACCGATGCTTATATACAGACTTTGTGCTGCAGTGACTTTGTAGTCTTGGCTTGTTGTCAGTGGAGAAATATTCAATAGTCAAATCACTAATCTGTCTCCTGATATTCTCCAGTCAGTTTCTGCACACGGTATTCCGAGCTGCAGCGAATAACTCTCTGGCGGAACTGCCATCTTCAATACCCAAAGGCTGAGTTTAACTGAAGCTGGCACCTTCACCGCCAGGACTATGATCGGGTCATTTTAATTAGTTTGGAGAAATGAAGTAGGTGACGTTTCTCTCTTCTTAACCACGGAGACTCAGATTTCAGTTATATGCGCTTGTCAGCCTAACCCCACTGCAATTTCTTCAAAGAAGCTGTCAATACAAAACTTATCAATGGCTGGAGGACCTGTGGTTACCACATACAAGAACAAAGTGTTCAGGTTTCGATTTGATATGTGTAGAGCCAATACTGCGTGTAAATCATGTAAATTTTGCGAAGGACGTAGCATACGCGTCCTTCTACTGTTGGGAATTACTGTACTTAAGTGGTCAGCGAATATTATCAAGATCTGTGACCGTGTTCAGGTTTGAGAGATTACTACCATACACTTATATTGATATGTTCAATTGACGAAATCCAAAGTGGCCATTACTACGCTGGACTCCATTCAAAGCAAGTCGTGTTGGTTTCTTCTTGCAATACCCATCTCTGCAAAGCATAAACTATATTCAGTTTTAAGGTCATCGAAAAGGTGGTATGGATTTCGATACTTAACGACGGAAACTGTCATTCGCGGATAAGAGAAACACGGGCGGGGCGGGAGTTCCAAACCTTAACACATCACCCGCTATGCGATAAGGTATAGGTCACTGATGGTCAGATCTGACTAGTGATGCATTATCCTTAATCTTGTTTTGCACCATTTCGCAGTTTCCCAGGACGTTCTTCTCTTACTGAAATAGCTTTTAATCGTGTGAGGGCATAGGACTTACGCAAATATAGGCTGTTCATTCGCTGACTACAATTAGCAGCAGGGAATGAAACCAAGTCTTGGTTGCAGCTGGATCTTGATGGTGACCTTCGTGAGGGTTTAAAGTTAAACATTCATGCTAGCCTCTTCCGGTCGCTTGTTCCATAATTCAACTATTTAGACATCTAAAAAAGTGCCAATTTACTGACACTTCATGATAATGGTTTGTACCATGTCTGATCGTGACCGTAGGGGTGGCATGCATTCCATTTAAACATATTTTTATACGAAATATAATTATTACTATAGTGCTTGCATCCTTAGTTCTGGCATTAAAGGGCGTCGCAAAAATGAAAACGAGAAGGTATATAATGAACAATGCCCGTCATAAGAAACAGATGCGACGAACACCAATGGAGGTACCGGATGGCTGATAATTTCCAGTTAACTGAATGCTTAGGAACCAACCCCGATCTACTAGCGGTACGTTCGAAATTGGTGACATTGTTGCACGTGTTTGCTCTGATATTCATTTACTGCTTATAGTCATATAATCCTTGAAATTATGGTCCAAATTTCTAAAAAACGTGTTCGTAGAAACACAGTTGTTTTAGATAGTGCCTCAACCTCGGTTATAACTGCATTACCACCCTGTAATACAGCATTAACTACTAGCTCACAAAATGGCTTGAGTGCAATTCTCACTCCTGTGATACAGATGAAAGATGTTCTGTTAGAGAACTCTGAGATCTGTAAATTAGACCTCCTTGTGAAAGATATCCAAAGGCAAGTAAATGAACTTCAGGAAAAATTAGGTCAGTTTGATAGAATGTCACTGCCAATGTCAAATATCACGGAGAGCAGTTCTCATATTGGCCAGGTTAAGTCTTTGCTGGATGTAACTCAAAGCAAGCTTTCGGATTTAGACCCAATAGCCTGTCTGTTAAGAAAGCATCCTAAAATGTCTCCAGACACCCTAAATAAGGCTGAAAATCTGATTGACTGCTTGGCTGCGGAGGTGATGAAGCGTATAACCTCTTCTCACCAGGCTATA